TATTAGCCGATCGATGAACCTCAATCATTGTGGATTGCCCATGTCGCCACTTCTCAATGGATCACAATTCCATGTTTTATTACTACTGCCGTATCTAACCCAACCATAGAAGCCATTTAAACCTTATTAACATCCACCAGGAATGGTTCCTTCCTCCTCCCATGTATAATAGTCCAAAACTGTGATATAATCATGGGGAAAACGTACTCAATGCACCATAATCTTACACCGCATAATACTAACCTATAGGAGTTTCCAAACCTTTTATCGGCGCCGCCTGGTTATGAAGGGGACATCGATCAGACAATCACTACTTAATCCCATCCCGATCAATCATCAATATCACCATCCACTGTATTATTTTCGAGGGAACTCGATCCTTACCTCAAAGTTCGATTGGTTCCCGATGCCGCCACCACACAGCATCGCTTCTTCTAGTCGCTCTTCCGGCTGGCCAATTCCGTCGATGTGGACCGCATCAAATGATGGTGGGGCAGTCCTCTCTCTCGGCCCCTGGCATCAGGTTAGTGAACCCGTCTTCCCCTCGGTTTCGCCTTTATCTTCCGATGATAGTAAATAATTACATAACGCATCAATGGGAATATGGGATGATGAATGGCTGCTTGGAGAATTTTGGGTTAGCTTATAATTAAAAGTCCTTGTGAAACCGACTGGGGTTGGGGGAGGAATGGGTAACGGTGGGGTGATGAGATTAATGGTGGGGGTTTAATGGGAGAAGGTAACAGGTGGAATTTGGGAAATTTTCCTATTTTTTTTTATTCATTAATTATCACGTATCACCTAACCCAAACATGAGCTGAATCAATTACCGGTCCAACCTAATTCAGAAATTCGGGGTGTTACAGCAGCTATCAAAGTCTATGCAGACCTGGTTAAACAAGAAGAGGCTTTTTCAGACAGAAATCCAGAATAAGATGGCTCACTTTGGGGGACCAGAACTCGGGTTTTTTCCATAAGTCTGCTATCATTCGTGCAGCTCGGAAAAAGATAAGGAAGATTGTGGCCAACGATGGTAGGGAGCTCACTGATACTCAGGCCATTGCTGATGAAGCAGTTTCCTTTTATAAAGGATTATTTGGCGTAGTTGATAGTGCAGTTTGTGTTGATTCAGAGGTTATCCGGGATTGTTTACACCCCACTTTGACCCAGGAGCAACAGGACTCTCTGTGTGTTCCAGTTACTACTCAGGAAGTCAAGGATGCTCTTTTTTCTATGGATGGTTCAAAGGCCCCTGGCTCGGATGGATGGATAGCTGGGTTTTTTCAAAGGAACTGGGGACTGGTTAGTGTGGATATCATTGAGGGGGTCAAACATTTCTTTCAGCACAAAGTTCTCCCGAGAGGTATGAACTCAGCCTCTCTTACATTAGTACCCAAGACCCCTAATGCAGATAATATGGGATCCTTTAGACCAATTGCTTGTATCAACATTTTATATAAAATTGTTGCTAAGGTGTTGGCTAATAGGATCAGAACTGTACTCCCCTCAGTCATTAGCAGAAATCAGTCAGCATTCATTCAGGGGCGTAGTATTCTAGAAAACATTTTAATGGCCCAGGAAGTTGTTCAGAACTACCATAGAATTCATATTTCTTCCAGATGTGCAGTCAACATAGACCTCAAAAAGGCCTTCGACTCTGTTCACTGGGGATACCTCTCTTGTGTCATGGTTCTCATGGGATTCCCACAGGTTTTTATTGAGTGGATTCTAGTTTGTTTGAATTCAGCCTTCTTCAGTGTATCGATACATGGCAGTCTCTTTGGGTTTTTTCAATCTGCAAAAGGTGTAAGGCAGGGGGATCCCCTATCCCCCTACCTGTTCACCATTGCTATGGAGCCTCTGTAGGGCCTCTTGAATCGAGCTGCAGCTTCCAAGGCGGTTCCTTTTCACCCTCAGTGCAAGAAAGTTGACCTTACCCATCTCTGCTTTGCCGACGACCTTCTGATTTTCACTGAGGGTTCGGCACGGGCTTTGTCTGGAGTTCGTTTGGTCTTGGACAGATTTTATCGTCTCTCGGGGCTGCAATGCAACCCTGATAAATGTGAAGTGTTCTTTGGAGGCCAGGCTCATCAGTATAAGTCTATTGCATTACATGTTTCTGGATTCAGAGAAGGGCATCTCCCAGTTCGTTATTTGGGTCTGCCTCTCACCTCAGGTAAACTTTCCAGCCTTGAATGTGCGTTGCTAGTGGATAAACTGACTAAGAGAATTCGTAGTTGGCGAGCAAGTACTTTATCTTATGGTGGAAGGCTCCAGCTTATTGAATCAGTTCTGTACTCTCTGATTCATTACTGGATGGCGGTTTTCATTATTCCTAAAAAAGTGATTAAAGCTATACAGAAAGCATGTTCTGACTTTCTTTGGCATGGGGACAAGACAGGGAGGGCTAAAGTTGCATGGGAACACATTGCCCTGCCAAAGATGGAAGGGGGATTAGGTTTGAAAGACTTAATTTCTTGGAATGTAGCCTGTGTTGCTAGGCTTCTATGGCTTATTCTTATGCAGGGGGGTAGTTTCTGGGTGGCTTGGGTTTCAAGATACCGACTTCGAGGCTCTTCAGTCTGGGAAGTCAAGAGAACGGCTGCAGGATCCTGGACTTGGAAACAAGTTCTCAAAGTTAGGCCTTGGCTGCAATTCAGAATGGGGTTGGATAATGATGGTGATGTTACTTGGATTGGAAAGAAGATGATTCGTTTTTTTGTGTCCACTGTTTGGAATACTCTGCGTTCCAGACAACCCTTTGTGACCTGGTGGAAGATTGTATGGGGCAAATTCACTCTCCCCAGGTGCAGAATCTTGGCTTGGCTCATCATAATTAATCGCATTCCCACGAGAGACAAGCTTAAAGCGTGGGGTGTTGCTGTGGATGATAGTTGTCCTCTCTGCAACTCATCCAGTGAGTCGAGGGAGCATTTATTCTGTGAGTGCACTTTTACTTTGGCTTATCTTACCTCTCTACTCAGAACTACCATTCACCTGCCTGCTAAATGGGATGATATGATGCTGGTAATGTCGCGCAAAGCTGCTCAAAATGATAACAGGAGTGTGCTGGAGTGTTCCATTTGGTGCTGGACTATCGCATCCATCTGGCGTGAACGTTGCAACAGGGTATTTGGGACTACTCTGAAACAACCTGAGTTGCTGGCCTCACTTACAAGGGAGGAAATGTGTTTGTTTAGCAATGGTAACATAGAGTTTCAGTCTATGATTCGGAGAATTCCAGAGCTGTATAGGATCATCTCTCCCCAATAGCTAGTTTCTTTTTTCTAAGGGAGTTTGCTGTTGGCAGTTCTTTGCTGTCTTGTATTTTTTCGACTCATGCTGTTTGCATCGAGTGAGCTTTGATGGAAACCACTAATTACCGGAAAAAAAAATAATTCTCATGAATCAATACAACTAACTTTTTCTTCAATTTAATTTAAAGGAATATATCTCTTTTATTTTAAGTCATAATTTAAAAATAAATTTACCAATGGTTAAAATCTGGTTATGTATTTGTGTATAACTAAATGTTATGCACCCTATTTTCGACGCTCTCTCATCCAAAGTTTGCAACAAGGGAGCAGACATTAGAGAGATATATATTCAAAGAAGAATTAAAAAATAATCATTAATTTAGTTTACTCTACTGCTAACTTTGATATATTTTGAAGAAAGTATACCTTGATATTTTGGAAAAAAATTATTGTAATGAATTCATATGCTTGCAAATAAAATTTATAAAAAAAATCTGTAAAATACAATAATTGTCTATACTTTAAGTAAATTTCTTTCAAATATATTCCATTAAATCTTTCAATTGAGCCTACCGTGGTGGTGCGTAAGATAGAGAGGGAAGAGTGGAAATGGTAATAGAGAATGGGTTGGTGGAGAGTGATTATCCAAGCACCGCCAGTACACACATTTCTTGATCATATGTGTTTTGGTCGTTCTACAACATAATTGGGGTTATCTTGCTCGTTTGATTGATGTTCAAGATAAAGTGGCGCTTGCAACCTTTTGACTACAAAATATTACACTCATTATTCTACGAATATGATATATGTTCATACGATCATTTTACTCTTCTATGTATCACCAATTGATCATATTATACGGTAGTAAAATAATAATTATATTAATTTTATCTTTTTAAAATATATTAAAATGAATGCCATTTTAAAGAGTATAATTTAAGATAAAGTTTAAAAATTATATTCGAATAAATGAGATATAACATACGACCCGTTAAATTTTAATAAAAGAATAATTAGGTCCTTCAATCGAGGCTCTTTTTATTAGTCAACGATTAAAACTTGTTGCCATCTCCCTAGTAAACCAGTGTTACTCTAGTAGGGGACTAATTATAAGTTACCTAACTTAGAATTTGTACTAAGGTCTCAGAGGTCCCGGAAACATTAATTTGGATAGCCAGAAGGAACAAAAGTATGAACATTGAACGGTGGATGTAGATTCTACTTCCCTTGAAGTCCAACTATGTAATCAATTGAATCAGGAAAGAAAAAACAAGCATGCCTAACTGCATTGGCAGCCATAGCGTCACTCTTGGAATTCCTCTATCAGACTCACTAACAGGAGCGCAGTTAGTGGCATGCATTTTATTCCACACACGACTTTTCAGTAGCACCATGGAAGAGGAAGATGTTGGAAATGATAAGAAGAGTATGCCAATAACTCCAACTCCGCCTGCTTACCAGCTTTCCATGAGGTTAACTATAATGACTGTCACGATAATTGTATAAACTGATTGATGATCGGCTATAGAATTGAGAAAGCGAAATAATTGACCACTAACCTAACAAATTCCATGTTGGTCTTTTTCGTAGAATAAATTAATCCCCGAGTCCACAAAGACAAGTCAGTCAATGGAGTAATTGACCTGTCAAATTCATAAATGGTAAACATTATGCTTGTCCATTCTACCTTCACTTCCACTATAAAATCAGCTCCATATTCTCCTGCGGAATCAAACTACTCAAGAGCTACTTACTATTTTCTCAATCTTAACATGGGTTCCCCAAAATCGCCTATTCCCAAGAACAACCCATTAACCAATGTTTCAACAGTCTTGTTGCTCTTGGCTTTGCTACTTGCCAGCCTACACACCACAGGTATCTACATCTCCAATAGCCAACTGAATTATTTCTATATTCAAACATTTTAATTTTTAAGTCGATTCTAATCGTGTGCCAGGTGCTCAAATTGGAGTTTGTTACGGGAGGTTAGGCAACAACTTGCCACAACCGAGGGAAGTCGTAGCACTTTACAATCAGAACAACATCCGAAGGATGCGACTCTATGATCCACACCCACCCGCACTGGAAGCCCTGAGGGGATCAAACATCGAGCTCATGCTCGATGTCCCCAACGACCAGCTCCAATCAGTCGCCTCCAGTCAGGGCAGCGCAGACACGTGGGTTAGAGACAACGTTGTCAGGTACGCCAACGTTCGATTCAAGTACATCGTTGTCGGGAACGAGGTCAAACCGAACGACAACCGGCTCGCCCCGTACCTGTTCCGGGCGATGCAAAACATCCAAACCGCTATGGACAAGGCCGGTTTGGGCAGCCGAATCAAAGTCTCAACGGCCTTCGAATATGGGTTCATGGGCGTGACCTACCCTCCATCAAAAGGGACATTCAACTCCCAGTACCGCAACCTCCTCAATCCCATCCTGTCCTTCTTAAGGAACCACAATTCCCCACTCTGTGTAAATCTGTACCCATTCTTCAGCTACCGTGACAACCCGGGCCAAATCCGGCTTGATTATGCTACCTTCACCGCTCCATCCGGTTTGGTGTCCGACCCACCTCTAAGCTACAACAACCTATTCGACGCGATGCTGGACGCGACCTACTCTGCTTTGGAAAAGGAAGGGATGGGGTCTCTGAACATTGTGGTGTCGGAGAGCGGATGGTCGTCGGCCGGCGGTGGGCCGGCAACCACGGTGGATAATGCAAGGACTTATAACAACAATTTGGTTCGTCATGTTAAGGGTGGAACCCCTAAGCGGCGAGGGCCTATTGAGACTTACATTTTTGCAATGTTTGATGAAGGGAACAAGGACCCGGAATTGGAGAAACATTTCGGGCTGTTTAACCCGAATAGGCAGCCCAAGTACCCGATGAATTTCAATTGAACGACGGGGAACGTTTGATTGGAGAGATTATATGTATACTATAAGCTTATAATACTGTGAAGTTGCGGGTAAAATAAGAGCATGAGCTTTGTTCCCTCCACAATAACTACAAACTACAGGGGGCACAATGTCTTTGTGTGAGTGCGCGGCTGAGGATATTGAAATGCCATACTATCAATGTATTGATATAGTAATAATTATTCTATTGTCCATCTTGCTAAGAATGAATATTATGGACTAAGAGATTGGAATGACATTCCATAAAATTCGTGTTGAAACATGACAGCTTTATTAGTACAATATTGTTCTTTTTGGGGCAAATTCGCACAATTTTATTATTTTCCCTTTTTTTCGTTGAATTATTTTTCCTCTTTCTCCTCTCAGCTATCATCCGAAGAAAATAAGGAGAAAATGAGAACAAGAAATATTATGTGGGTCCCACAAAATTTTAATATTTATTTTCTAAATTTGTATATTTGGTGTTGTTGTGTGGTTTAAATAGATCTATTTGTTTGTATTTGGTTTTACCTCTTTAGTCATCTTGCTCGAGCTCATCGATCTATTCGTTCGTATTTGATTTTACGTCTTCATTCATCTCACTCGAGCTCTTTTTTGGGTCGAATCTCACTCGAGCTCTATCTCAAATGAAAAAATCATGAAGAAATCTTCTAATATGGATTATCCACCATTAATAATATTTTTTATTGTTCTTTGGAAATACACCTCTTTGTTTGGATTTGGTTTTGCATTCTTACTCATTTCTTTCTCGCTCTCTATGAAAATAGCGAAATTGGCATCAAAATCAAAGGAAGCAGATACTACCTTCTTTCGTCTTTTTCTCCCTTTTTCATTTCAAATGAAACAATTTTGTAAATCTCTAAATATCAGTTTTGAGCTCCAAATATGTAGATCGACGTCCTCTACTTTATAACTTCATTTGCCAGCGAGTGCATATTACTACGAACCTATACCGCAACATCTTAGTAATTTTTCTTGCAGTTCTTGAAGTTATGTTGTACGAATTATATTTTACTAATTCTTTCCTAGCGACTCATTTACCGTGCTATCTTCAACTCGCCATGAAGCACAAGCGAGCGGGCATATCTAGTATTCATAAAAGGTAAAAATGCACAAAAAACTAAAAACACCTCTTCATTCTAAATAACGAGTTCATATTAAACACAAATTTGGTGTGAAGTACTTTTGATGTCAAATAAAAATCTTGGTTGTCTTTCTACCATTCATTAGGAGGTCTTTTATTCATTAAGATGTCTTTTAGTAATGAATCCCAACTCTAAAGGCAAGAGTTCATCATGTTGGTCCCACCCAAATATTTTCCCTCTTTCTCCTATCATTCTAAGAAAATAGGGGGGAAATGAGAACAAGAAATGTTATGAGGGTCCCACCACTCTTTTAATTATCTATTTTTTAAATATATGTTTTTGTTATTGTGATGGTGGTGTTTAAATAGATCTATTTATTCGTATTTAGTTTTAGTCTGTAGTCATCTCGCTCGAGCTCATCGATCTATTTGTTTGTTTTTTATCTTATGTCTTTAGTTATCTCATTCGAGCTCTAGCTCAATAGGAAAATAACAGAGAAATTTTCTAATATGGGTTATCAACCATTAAGCATAATTTTTATTGTTCTGTTGAAATCCACCTATTTGTTTGGATTTGGTTCTGCATTCTTACTTATTTCTTTCTCGCTCTCCATTAAAATAACAAAATTGGCATCGAAACCAAAGGAACCTGATGTTACATTCTTTCGTCTTTCGTCTTGCCAGCGAGTACATATTACTACAGACTCATTTACCTTTCCTACAAAAACTTAGTGATTGTTCTTGCAGTTCTTGGAGTTATGTCGTACAAATTATATTTTATTAATTCTTTCCTAACGACTCATTTACCGTGCTATCTTCAACTCGCCGCGAAATACAAGCGAGGGGGCATATCTATTATTCATAAAAGGTAGAAATGCACTAAAAAAAACTCTTAATTCTAAATAACGAGTTCATTTTAAGCACGAATTTGGTATGAAGTACTTTTGGTATGAAAATTTAAACCCAAAATTAAGTTCTAGTTTCAACGCTCATAGTACACAACCTTTCTCTTCGCCCCGCCTTCCTGATAGGAATTTGAGAACTATTATGTAAATATTGATATATGGATGACCAATGACCTACCATAACCCCTATTTCTACATCATTATCTCTCATTCATATGCATTTATATAAGGATGTGGTGGTTATCAAAGTGTGCCTATAAATATAGTACACCATTGTATAAAAAATGAAGAATGAATAAGAAGAACTCTTCCCCTCTCTGCTCTTGTGTCTTTCCCTCTCTAATTTTCTCTTGTAGTTGTTTATATTTTCCATTAGTTTCATAACAAGTTATCCGCACGAAACTCTGCCAAAATTATCATTGCTTAAGCCTCAAAGACTCTCGACATAATCTAAGATATTGGAGTAAGATCACAATATGATCAAGGTATGTAAATCTTAGATCCTTTCTTATCTTATTGTCTTATTTGTGTTGAGATTATCTCATTCCAATATATCAAGATGGGTGCTACTTCTCATATCCATTGATATTTTATCACACCGATCTATTTGGATTAACAAGAAAAGTAATATAAGTGATAAGTTAATTTTTCAGTTCTCCATGTTATCCTGTTCTTATCAATCCCACATTGATATGTAGAAATGCAAGTTCCAAGAGCACATATATTCCCCAGAAGTGGAAATTGAAGAATCCAAGGGCAAAGAAAGAAGTGGGCATGGTAACAAGAAGATTGGTTTTGTATGTTACCATTGTAATGGAAATTTGCAATTGTCTCGTACCCGTTGTACGCAAAAGACCTTATTCTACCAAGAATCAAAGGGAAAAGCTAATTCATATACGCTCCGGCAATATCAATATTATGGAACATATTTTTTGTATTATAAGTTGGTATATTCTCCATTAAAGATGAAAATGATATCACTTGATAAATTTTCATTTCCAGAAGTGAATGAGATAATCTATTCTCCGAAGTGAATGGAGCTATAAACATAATTATTTATATGTTAAATGTACTCTTAGGATCTTTTCACCATAAGTGAGAAAAGAAGAGTAAAAGGAGAACTATAAATAAGGATGACACCACAATTGCATTATCAAAGTCATGATAATATAATGTACCTGTTGTACATTATAATGTATAATGAAATGCATATATAAATTTAAAATCACCTAGTTAGTGATGCTATTGTTCCAAATAAATCTTATTTAATTTTCAAAATTGTAGTATTATGATTCTTATTTTCTATTATGTTTTATCGTGCAATTATTTTCATGCATAATTTAATTTGATAACTTTTATCTAGAACTATTAACTTGATAAGTTCATCATTTTTGTCTTAAGTTTGAAATATTCTCATTTATTATTTTAGTATGTTTTTGTAAAGTATGATTGCTAGAAAAATTCCATATAAACTATATGGTAGAGTACATAAATGAGAAAAATCTTCCGAAGAGCTTATGTTTGGTTACTTGAAGTTACTAAATTATGTACTCGTGATAACAATTTGTGATGATATTCACTATGAATTTGTGTTTACTAAGAATGCATCAAATTATAAGTCCCCGGAAGGGTGGAATATGGTAAAGCTTTAAAGGAGCTAATTTTGTGGCCTGAAGGAACCAAACTACCCAGTGATGATGCATTACCCAATTAAAAGGATATTTGTAAAATGAATATCTTATCAAGAAAATAGTGAAACTAATATTTGCATCACAAATATGTACTATTTTTATATTAGTACAATCAATACACATAAATGTGTAAACAAGAAGTTGATAATTGGTTGGTCCGGTTAGACCATCCCGGATCTTGATGTGAAAAAAAGTTCTTTGAGAATTCATGAGAACATCATATGAGAAGTAAAAGAACTCTTCAACTAAAAGAGTTACTATGTCATGTTTGTTCTCAAGGAGAATAGAACAATTGATCATCGCTTGTATAAGAGTTGGCAAATCTCTTGAGATTTTATGGACGTGTATGCAGAACAATACATCAGTCATGTGGATAATTTGTGAATTTTATGGGTTGCTGCATCAAATGGATGATCACTTTTATTTTATCTAATCGCAACCCGATGTTTGCGAGATTGATTGCCTCAGTATGTATACATTTTGATGGTTATCCAATCAAACATCACTTTTCTTAAGAGAACAAACTGAGCCTTCTGGTCTCTTGTCGAGGACATGCTAGCTGGCAAGTGATAGTACTGGTTCACATCTAACCAACAAGTTATCATAAGTTCCCCCCTTTTACAAAAGATTTTGGTAAAAAACCTAACATTTCTCATAAGAGAATATCAGGGTGTGCCGCATACATCCCAATTGCTCCACCACAGTATCTTAAGTTGATTCTCGTTGGAAATTGAGAATTTGTGTTGGGTATGAATCCCAAATGAGAAATTTGTTTGCGAAATTATTGTTTTGATGAATCACTTTTCCAACATTAAGCGGGAGAGAAACAAAAAAACAGCTAGTCAAAGAGATGAGTTGGAATGACTTATCATTATCTAGTTTTGATTCTCAAAGTAAGAAACATGAACCTGAAGTTCATAAAATGAATTATCGTTACCAACTATCAAATGCCTTTACTGGCCATACGAAGTGAGCAAGTCACATATACTAGCTGCGAATGCTCCAACTAAATTTGATATCCTTGTTGGAATATTTAATATAAAAAAATGTGTATGAAAGAGCGCCTGAAGCGTGATAGACTAATCGGTTCCAATGATAAACATCCTCGAGAAAGAAAAGGAGCTGTAATTAGAATGGTCAACTCGAGGACATGAAAACTCAAGAAGAGTAACCAAGAATAAAATATAATTTTAGTTCTAGAAGAACACATGTCTATGAAAGTTGTGAAAGCTAAGAGATCTCAAAACCATATTAGACTACAATATTGGAACAGTAATGAAATCATTGCCGATAAAATTTGTTTGTTGTACTTCAGTACGGAATATAATATGTACAAGTGAGGATCAAGAGTAAAACTCTATTGATGCATGCTAATAATGATGTTATTGGCCAATATAGAAAGAAATCATGAAACTTGCTCAAAGAGCATAAAGTTTAAGGACCAGAAGTCCTTGCACCTAAAAAAGGGCAAAACTAGCGGCATACAAACAAATTTTTGTGCTATTGGAAAGTAAGAAATTGTGAGAGATATCGCATAATGTTTTGCAATGGGTTTCTCGAAGAGACCTACATTGTTTAAGAGGAGT